TCTCTCTCTCTCTCTCTCTCTCTCTCTCTCTCTCTCTCTCTCCCTCTCTCCCTCTCTCCCGCTCTCCCTCTCTCGCTCTCGCTTTCTCTTGTGCACCGCGTGGATGCCTCTCCTTTGTACGTACCATGCGCCTCGTAGCATCACCTCGCGCCCTGTCGTTTGCTGTTGTTATCGTCCCATCCCGTACAAGGATATGAACGTGGCGGTAGCAGGCGTACCGAAGACCATCGACAACGATGTAGACATTATCGATCGCTCTTTCGGGTTCCAGACATCAGTCGAGGTACGCACCTTTTATTTTTTTTTTGCATCAATCATGAACTTGTTTTCCTTTGTGCGTGTCGTTGTTCAATTTTGATGAAACTCGTACCAATACACACCGTTCGCATTTTTTGTCAAGATGCTCGTGTGTGGATGAAAGCGTGGCATCACCTTCCGCTGAGCGTGGTGAACCCACCCTGTTGGGAGTAGAAAGTCGCTGTGAGCGTTTCCTGATCTTTACGATGTACCAACTCCTAGTTCTTGAGCAGCACTTGGAAGTGATGCGATTGTGGTGCTCTTTGTGACCGGGTGGGGCGTCACAGGCCATTGTCATGGTCTCCTGTGCCACGGTACATGTTGGCTTCACGATTCCCTATCCTCGCGCCATGGAGGAATGACTAGCTCGTCGCCACCCCCAACCCCCTCACCAGTTGCTCTTGTTCTTGTATCCTTCCCGCTTGGCGTGCCGTGTTTGTCGTCTGATCTGGCGGAGTGTTAGGCTGCTCAGCATGCCATCGAATCCGCTACCACAGAGGCCAGGTGTGCGATACCCAACGGGGTCGGCGTGGTGAAGGTAAGAGGGTCGCACACACACACGCGGTGCAACTTGACAGAGAAACAGCAATAGCAACAATAGAGAGGGAGAGAGACAGAGAAATAGCAACACCAGAGACGGAGAACCAGAAAAAGAAACCAAGGAGAAACATATATAGAAACGATCGGAAAACGTAACCAAATAGAAACGAAAGAGACACAGAAACATGCAGGTGCGCCGGTGGACTGAGGCAGACAACTGTGTTTGAGATTCTTGCGCGAGCAATGGGGTGATCGAAACCGGGCAGTGAGAGTGAAGGACGATCCCCCCCCACCTATTACTGTCAACGAGGAGGTTCCGAAGATACGCGGTACGCAAAAAAACAAAAGAGAAGCGTCGGGAGAGCGGGGGGCGGCTTGTGACAGTCAAACAAGCACTAGGTTTGTTGCGTTGTGACTCGTTTTTGTGCGGACGGCGGATGAGGCAGGCCGCGTGGATGTCATGTGATGGCTATTGTGGCAGGGGCGTCGAGGGTGGAAATTCGTCAACACTTCTATTGTGTGGTCGATCGACACAGCAGCGTTCCTGGATAGGGCGGTGCAGCAAATGGGCACAGAAAAAACGAAGTATTGGCGAGAACCTCTAGGGACGATACGATACGATACGATACGATAGATGCGTAGCGAGCAAGGTCAAGTACTGACGGACAGAGGGCTGTTTTGAGAGCAGGACGTCAGAAATGAACGAACAGCAGATGGATCCAGAGCATAGAGGTCAGCAAGCGTGCGTTCACCATACCTTGGGGCAAAGAATAGGAGTTAGCAGCGCCTGCGCTACAACGTTAACTGGCTGAACCCTGCGCAATGTAGTGTATGCGTACCTCGCCAGCATCTCGTTGCGTTTTTACTTGTTGTCGTGTTTCTTTTTTATCACAGAATCCTCCCTTTCAGTTCCTGCCTTTCTCTGTCGCTGACTTGTCGGCGCTGTCGTTCGCGTGAATGCGTGCCTGTGCCGCTGCGTGGTTTTATGGACCCTCCTCCCTTGCTTGGACAACACGGCTGTACCACTAACGACACCACCTACAAATGTGGTGTTGGTTGGCCCTGCGACTACTTCCGGGCTCACGTATTGACCAATCATCAAACGCGGGACTGTTGTTGGTGGATCAACGGCCAATTGAAGCTAATGGGTCGATCATCGGGCTTCATCGCAGCAATGGGTAAGGGCTGAAAGTGATTTGCTTGTGGAGACACTGCCAGCCTCGTGAGAGGGATTGATCAACTTTCCTTGCCTTCTATCGTGGTCGAGGGTATTCAGGGTCAGACGGTGAAGTGAGCTATCCAAACGTCGGTGGAGCAAGATTACCAGGTCCGGACGCCAGCACAAACAGATTTGACGCATCGAACAGATCAAAAATGATACACTTTCTAGGCGATAAGAACCTTACACCCAAATTCCTTTGCCCCCCCCCTGGATTTGGACTCCGTCGTTTCAGCTACCCTCGCTTCCGGGGACGTGGACCTGTGCCTTGTGCCGGAGTGTGACATTGTGCTTGACGGGCCCCGTGGCTGCTTGCCGCACATCATGAAGAGGGTAAGGAACGGTCGCGCAACGCGTGTCAGCAAGCACAGCGCTGCTGATAAGGCTGTATTGTTGGGCGCCCTTTCGTGATTAAAGACTTAACTCTTGTCGCACTCTTGCTGCTGATGATCGTACTAATTGTGTCAAGCTGGTTGTTCGTTGGGAAGGGCGGCAGTGGCAGCTATGCTACAACAAGAGCTGCCTGTCGCTTTTTTTTTTGTGGAAAATCGCGACGAAGTGCGACAATGATGTAGCATTCACAACGCAAGGTGTGTTGTGGGTGACGCCAGCCGCAATATATGGGAATTGAAATGTGTCGCAAAAAAAAGGATGAATTGTTTGCTACAGCAGAGCGTACATGACGACGACCATGGGATCTGTTGTGTGCATTGCGGTTTTCCGGCAATATCGTGTGCTCGATGTTCGAAAAAGCTTACCGACTTGGCTTGGTATAGTATGAGTCAATTGAATTTGGCTCTGAGTTCCCTTTCGTGCAGGCAGAGAGACGAAAACCAAACTAACAAAAGTGATTTGCGTGTGTGCCACAGCCCGAGTCCACTGTAGGCAGAGAAGCGAGATACAAACTAACGAAAGTGACGTACGTGAGTACCACAGCTCGAGTGCACTGTAGGCAGGGAGACGAGATACAAAATAACGAAAGTGAAGTGTGTGAAGCCACAGCCCGAGTCCACTGTAGGCAGAGAGACGAGATGCAACAGCCTTCTCGGGATCGAATCACGCCTAGCCTGTGTTTTTTCTTTTCGGGATATAAGTGCGGGGGGTCCGCCGCCCATGGGATTAATTAGAAACCTTGTCGAAGCCCCGCCTTGAGATGGCGTGGATTGACCCCCTCTGGCATGATTAAATTCGATTTTGTCGATTTCCGCACCGGTGTCGATGTTGTCGCACCGGGTGCGATAGAGAACATCGGGCATGTTGTAACAAACGATTGTGCCCTGGCCCGCACAGCAGCACTTGCACGGATGGCATTTACCGGCAAGTGGCTTTACCAGGATGCACTTCGGGAAGTAGATGAGTGGCAGGCTCTTCGATTGGGTGGATTGGTCCCTGCTGGTCTGGTCTATGTTCTACCTCCCGAATTGCGTCCTTGCGCAGCCCCGTGCTGGCACATGCCATCCGTGCAACTGCTGCGGGCCAGGGCGACAAACTTTAGTTACAATATGCCCCACTTGGTGCAAGGCCGGTGCTATCGTACCCGGTGCGATAACATCAACCCAGGTCATCACTAAAAAATCCGCACGCATCATGTCATGTGTTTTGACTACGGGATTAAAGGAAACAGGCCCTCCTTGAGACACTGAGTCCGCCGCGTATTTTTTGCCATCAGGTGAAGGAGAAGGGCTATGCCGTCGTGGTGGTGGCAGAAGGTGCCGGCGAGGAAATTCTGGGAGAGACCGGCGAAACGGATGCAACCGGGTGAGAGTCGCAAATGCTCGGAGGGCGCTCACGCTAACGCAAAATCTCGACTGATCTCGGTTACGGGAAACCCTAAACTGCGTGGAGAAGCGGGGCGTGTGAGCGTTCTCGCTACTGCTGTGTAGCAAGCCTTTTTTCGTTCGTGTTCCATCCCATCTCTGTCGTTGCACGGACTCGCGGGTGTTGAATGGAACGAAGATCCAAAGGTGAGAGCAATTGCTGAATAAGAGCAACTAGGGTACCGAAGGGGCCCCCCGCCCCCAGTGGGCGGGGGGGCCCGAATCGCTAGCGAGAGTAGTGGAGGACGGTGAAAAGGGAGATATAAATGAAGACGTCGAAGTTGGAAAGCTGACGAGTATTTGTTCCCTTGCGCGGGTGAGAGTGTAAAGGCGAGGCACAGCGTGAAGTTTGATGAGTACGCACGGGGCTCGGAGGCTGCAGGATCCGAAAAACACATGCAGAAGGAAACTAAACAGCACAGCGAAGAATGACCGAAATGTCCACGCGGAACAGTACCGCAGAACCACCGGAAGGCTAGCAACCGCGTGCCTACCCGCTTTTTTGTTCAACGATGCTCATGTCTGCACTAATACAACATACAACTTGGAAAATAAAGAGATAACTCAAGGAAACCAACCCTAAGCAATAAAGAACTGGAACCCGACTTCCAACTCAAACGCTGATCGAAGGGGGTGTAGATCAAAGATGAGAGCGCATGGGTCCCATCGTGTATTCGACAAAACTATACTGATTGATGTGAAACGAACACAACACGAGCTCAACCGATGGATGGAAGATATTGTACGTACGATACACATAGCTACTGACGCCCAAGGGTACAACCCGACCCAAAACGACCCAAGAGGACAGAAAAGGACAGAAGAGGCGAGTCAATCACAACAATGTGACGTGAAAACGGATGTCTTGACGTCTGTTCGCAACAAGACGCTTTGGTCCTCTTTTCAAGTTTAACCCCCGACACTAGCGTCTATGGTATGTAGTTTACGGAGGCAACTAAAGGCTCCCCCGCCCATTGAAGCCCGAATGACACACAAGGTGAAGAGTACACCAACAGCTACAATGATGATGCAGGCCAGGGCAAAGTTGACTGTACTCTTTTTGTCTTATGAGTGGGGCGAATTCGTGCATGTTTAAATGTTCGTTAAGGTGGGACCGCCTACACTGGAGCAACGAAAGACGCAATGTATTCGCCTCGGCGTTCCCACGACAACCTACATATTGTACCTTAGTTACAACAACCATGTCCTCAGACTTACTTACGTACCGGCGAATTCCAGAATACAAATGGCCCCATGGAGTAAAGGGATCCAACGTCAAATCGAAACAAGTACGGTCCAGCTTTTGTTTCCTTGGACAGGTTGAACAACAGCAGTCATATCGAACAAAAAGCCTTTTCGGCAACTGGGTTCGCGTGGCCCTAACGCCCTGGTGAGTGACGTTGAAAGGACTGGTGATTCGCGGCAACCCCAATGAACTGTTCTCTGACTGTCTCAAGTTTGAACTGAAGGATGTGTGGCTTGGCGTCGAGTACAACATCTTCCCTATGTCTTTGGTATATTGACAAGTTACAACACATGATGCATTTTGCGGTTCCGTGTGAAGCAAATTCTCGAAATATTATGCGCGGCTCCGCTGAGTAAGCGGCTTGCGCACAGCACACCCCGGCTGAGAGTAAACGTGCGTCATGTTGGGTGTGGCGTGCGTCGAAGGAAGTTGACGAATGCAAAATGTAGCTGTTGTAGGCATTTCGCGTTGGAGCGGAAGGGCGAGGCACGGCGTATTGCGTGATGACCGCGGTCGGTGTCGTTTGCATACTGCTATTGACATGTAGCAGGGAAAGGCAAGTCCTCTCCGCTACATACAGCAGTGTTGCATGCGATGTGTGTACTTCTTCACGGCTTGATGGCCTTCCGTACGCGGTGTATGGCTGGGTTAACGACATCCTGGAAAAGTGTGGTGACCACATGCAGAACCGATACATACAATACGTGTTGAGGGTGTTAGCCGCGGTCTACATTGCGGAGACACCAGCAGTTGTCTGTGCTGCCAACTCTGTGCTCCTCCCCTGCTTCGGTGCTGGTGTGCACACGCGGCTGTCATGCATGTCCCACGGATTGACCAAGCGCCACACTCGTGAACTCGCCAGCGCGCTACCTAACGTCCGAACCGAAAGATCCACACTTATCTGCCGCGTACCCACGCCACAATAGATGTGTGTGCTGTACAGCGGCTACAACTACTCGTGGGTTGCCGCTCTGTGTACGTAAATCGTACGCTGCTCAAGAGACCGCATGTTTGCCTACAATTCCTCACCACACTCATCCGATCACGACCAATGCTAAACTGTGAGAGTACATGTTCGGTTGGTCGAACGTTTTGGCGGTTGGGGGCAGCCCAAGGCCGGCGCACTCAGTCTCTCAGCAACAAAGGTGTGCGGCGTGCTTGAGAAAAAAAATGAGCAAACAACTCTCTTTGGGGGTACTCAGCACTCGATACTGATCTATGGGGATTTAGGGGACTTCGTGTATCATTGGCGGTATGTGTTGGTAGAGGGGCGGTCCCCCTTCTGCTGTGCATGGGCTAGCATGCCCGGCGCACTCATAAGTATACCAAGGTCTTGAGTCAACCTTTCTTCTCTGCGCTTCTGACAACAAGCTGCCCGCCTCCAAACACGATCGATCGGGCCTGGTTGAGGGCAGCCGGCATTGGCGTATGATATATTGCTGCGAGACGTGCTACTTCCGAGACGTGCTACAGCTATCTGGGGTGTGCCTTGTCACTTTCGGAACGGCAGCGTGGGTGGTGTTCGATATGTGTACTGTGTGTGATCAGCAACAACTTTTTCTGGAGCTGGTGCGGTAGGAAGGCCGACGTGTGAACAATGGCCGATGCGAAGCAGCCATTGCTGGAGGAGCTGCAGGAGGAGAGAGAAGCGCGGCGCGCGAGAGTCCGCGCGAGACCCCTAGAGGAATTCCCCAACGTGGTAGCGTCTGTGGAGCGAAATGCGGAAGCACCTGCGGCGACTGCACCTGCCGCTGGAATTGTCGCTGGAGATGATTTTCGGAGATGCGGCGGAACTCGGCACACTGCGTCGAACCCTCTTGTGGATAGGGAGATGGGTCACGCGTACATGGGTGTTGCTGGGCGTCGACAGGCAGGGGGTAGCGGTCCTGGCCAGCAGCAGCAGTGGGTTGGTGCTCCTTGCCAGCAGTACTAGCAGCAGCAGGCAGTGGGGTGGTCCTGGCCAGCAGCAGCAGCGGCAGTGGGGCGGTCCTGACCAGCAGTAGCAGCGGCAGTGGGGCGGTCCTGGCCAGCGGCAGCGGTGGAGCGGTGGTCCTCGCCAGCTACGACCGCAGCAGCAACAGCAATGGTCTCATAGGGGTGGTGCTCCGCAGCAGCTGCCGTATCGTCCTGCCTCAAGGAAACCCTCTTCCGGTAACCCACAGTTTGGGATTGGGGGGAGTTACAACTGCGGGAAGAACGCGAGATCCCGTCAGCCGAACTCGCCGCCTCCACCGAATACGCCGGTGGGTTCAATGTATGTCTGTGGGCGGTGTGGAAGACATGAAGACTATGCGCTGTGCGGCACCGAGGTGGTTTGAGGGCAACTGCTCCGCGTGCGGTGAATATGGTCACATTTCTAATATTTGTGCAAAGCGCGGTCATGGACTGGCACACCCGCGTGTGAACGTCGGGTAGACGCCACCTGCGACAGAGGTGGAGATGATTTCTTCTTTGGCGGGATCCTTTTCTTTTTCTGGGGCGCCCGTATTCGCGGGTGGACCCGCGAGGACGGCGGGTGGTGGTGTTTTCCCTGCTGCGGCAGCGGGGAAAATGGCTGGAGAGCCCGCGGTGGCAGCTGCAGAGGTGGCACCGGCGGCGACAAAGTTGCAGTGGCAGGAGGAACGTAAAGCGATGCGAGTTCAACTGCAAGAATATGAGCGCGAGCGGGAGAAATGGGCAATGAGGATCGGCGGAGAGCGAGGGAAGATGTGCGGGTTCGTGAGACGACGACGGCGGCGGCGCCCGGTGGTGGAGTTTTCCTCGCTGCGGTGGTGGAGAGAACGGCCGGAGTTCCCGAGTTGGCGGTTGCACCGGTGGGATTGGCGGCGGTGACATGGGCGGTGACGACGGCAACGCAACGCTCCGTGGCGGTTGTGGAGTCGCAAACACCGCGTGTGCAACAGCAGTGGCAGCAGCCGCAAGAGGTGGTGATGTCGCCTTCGGGGGGCGAGCCACTGCTTGACATCCGTCCGGAAGAGGCAGAGCAGACGGACTACACCGACAGCAGCAACAGCGATGATGGACGGCACCCCGAGGAGGTCGGCGACAGCAACAGTAGCGGCGACAACAGCAGGGGCAACGACGGGGGGTTGAATATTACCTGGTTTGGAGCATCGCTGCGCCCCTTCGACCCGGGGAAAGGCAACATCAACATCGGTAGCGGCACCAGTGATGGTGGACGGGACGCCGAGGAGGTCGGTGACAGCAACAGCAGCGGCAGCGAAGGGCTGAATGTGGCTTGGTTTGGAGCATCGCTGCGCCCCTTTGACCCGGGGAAACCGCTGAGGGCGAGGGTTAGCGGGGCCGTGCTGGGGGTAGATACCCCTTTCGACCGTGGGAAGACGTCGGGGCGGCGACGGCCGGGGCGCATGCCTTCGCGGCCGGAGCAGCGGAGGAGGATCTGGTAGACACGGGAGCGGGGCGCCGAGAGATGGTGACGGAAGACTCGAGATCTGAACCCAGGCGCGACGCGAAGAACTTGACGGGCTTGCTGGCTTGCTGCGGTGGGAACTTTCGAGGTTTTGGTTTTGGTTTTGATTTGTTTTTTGCGGTTTCTAATGCAAGTTTCTAATTTTGGTTGACAATGTTCATGCCCGCGTTGCACGTGTTATGTTAGATTGGTAGTGATTTGCTGTTGAATTTTTAGTTCTGGTGTGTTTTGTTGCAGAGGACTGATCGTCCTTTGTTGCAGAGACGAGTATGGTCGTGATGGTAGACAGAGACATTGAAAACCTTTGTCGCCCAACCACTGTTGTTCGCTGTACACAAAGCTAGAAATTTGGTGGTTATTTTGAACGTTACAGCAGGCAGTGTGTCTAAGAATCGAGTATTTGCAACATGCAATAATTGTGTCGATCAACTATTCGACTACAACCACTTACGAACTCTTGCAAGGAATTTACCGAATGGGCGAGTGTATTTTTAGTGCCGGAGGGCACGCTGGTAGACAATGTGGATGCTCACTCCTGTCTGTTTCAGGTGCATTGTTGGTAATTTTGCTGAGGCATGTGTGATGTATTTGTCTAGGACGCAGAGACGCACTACCCTGCGACGGAGTCCGAGTATGTCGCCTTGACGGATGGGATGAACGAGTTATCTAGGGAACAAAAATTTTCGTTTGGGTATGCATGTGTTGGCACTGGTTGGTTAATGGACTAGTGTGCAGAGTTTCGGGGGGGGCAATCGGCGATTGCCTCACTTTCGACGAAATCATTTGTCCTTCCACGAGAATGTGTGGTGTGAGTCAATGTAGCGGCCGTGACGTACGGACGAAATGCCGTTGCAAGTAGGGTATGGCGGAAAGCACTCGATGGAAAAAGGAATGGGGTTGGTCAAAGACGGCCATGTCGGCACACAAGGGTTGCTGCTTTGATGTTACTGTGTCGAGTATTTAGATTTGGTTTGTTGTTGGGATGCCTTGTTCACCGGATGGCGTTTTACCTGCGAAGTCGGTGCCTGCGTATTTTCGGGAGGAGGTGGTTCTAGTCGCGTTTTACCTGCGAGCTGGACACTTTGCATTTTTCTAGCGGGGTGGGCGATATATGATCAATTTCTAGCCACAGGGCGGCTGGCTATCGTTCTTGTTTNGGGGGGGGGGGGGGGGGGGGGGGGGGGGGGGGGGGGGGGGGGGGGGGGGGGGGGGGGGGTTCCCAGAAACTGTATATTGATATTGCTGACGATATTCGCGTACTCTATTTCGGTGTGTTGTGATGCTCTAGACTGCATGACATTATCTGGCAGCCCGTTTCTATCTTTGTGTTTTTATTTGTTTTTGGCGTAAGCCATGCATCTGTGGGCTAGAAGTGTTAGGTAAGCAGAATTCTTGGACGTTATGCAGAATCACTGCTGGTGGCACTGCCATCGACAATGATGGGGGGCGGAATGTTTTGCCATGATCCCGCTGCAGTACAACAAGCAATGTTTTGGCGTTGCATGGGTTGGTGTTTGATCTTTGGATTTTAGCTTCTTGTTACACCACAAGTATATGAAGGTTTTGATGTGATCTTTCATGTTGGAGGAAGGATGCCCCGGCAGGGGGGCTGTTGAATATCGGTTCATGTTTAGGTATCCGCAGTAAGTCGTAGGTTTTCCTTGATGTTTCCGCACACATTGGGTTTGCCTTCAACTTGACTGTACTGCATTTTTTTCCTGTGTTTGGATTAAAGATTTGATTCATCCTTGATGGACCTTCTTGAGGAGACTGTATGCCGAAGGAAAATGAGTTTGCCATCGCAAGGTTCAGAGTGGATGGTGTGATGAACGACAGTAAGGGGGCTGTTTAGGGGTACTCAGCACTCGATACTGATCTACGGGGATTTAGGGGGTTTCGTGTATCATTGGCGGTATGTGTTGGTAGAGGGGCGGTCCCCCTTCTGCTGTGCATGGGCTAGCATGCCCGGCGCACTCGTTAGCATACCAAGGTCTTGAGTCAACCTTTCTTCTCTGCGCTTCTGACAACAAGCTGCCCGCCTCCAAACAAACTCCACCTACTCTATTTTCGAGTAGTGCGACGTAAACCACTTGTGTGAGTTTTTAACTGAGGGCGATGCAAGAGTTGTTTCTTTATATTGAGCGTTTTTTCCGTTGATCCTTCTCGGCAGTTTCGCTCCTGTTGAATCCCAACCGTACCCTGCTCAATTCCAACCGTAATTTATCAATCCCAACCGTAATTTGTTCAATCCCAACCGTAATATGTCCAATTCCAACCGTAACCCTCACCCCGTGACTCTCACCCTCTCTGCGGCAGTCACAAGAAGTTCCCTGAGATCGGGCCGTTCATGAAGACGTGCATCGAAAAGTACTTTAGTGACCAAGGAGAAGTGTGCAACGTCAAGTACATCGACCCGTCCTACATGATTCGGTAAGTCCCTGGCCCCCCTCTCCCGTAACTTTTGAGTACCTCCCCGTCCCCCTTCGAAGTCTTGCAACATCGAGTACATCGACGCCGTTCTCATTTACTCTTGAACGCTTCCCGCCCCCGTTTGACTATTGCAACATGGAGTGCATTGACTCCCTTCCTGTGACTTTTGAATGCTTCCCGCGTCTTGCAACATGGAGTTTGTCGACCCGTTCTACACGATTCGATGGTTCCCCCTTTCCCCCCCCCCCTCATATATATTTTTTATTCTAGTGTTGTGTACTTCCAGCCCTCCTTCGAAGTCGTTCATTTGAGTGTTTTGTTTGTTGAAGTGTCGCGGTGCGTTCCTCTCTTCCGCCGTTCTGTTCCTCTCCTCTTCCTTGGCTGCGTTTATTCCGGGCGAAACAGGCGTACCAAAGACGAGGGTCGGTGCTATTCTGCACAGATCATGCGATGTACTTGCGATTTATGTCGACGAATTTCCCACGCCTGTCCTTGCCCTCAACAATCTTCGCCCGCTAACCGCCCGACCACTCGGTCAGTGCACTTATATTTTGCGATCGTCGATTCCGAGAGCTGGCTGCCCAAGGCAGCGGCGAGTCTCCCGCCGGACGAAAGCGGCACATTTTTTGGTGCCTCAATCGTGTATGGTCATTTTTTTGCCGGTGTGTTTCAGGTCAGTCGCAGCTAACTCGTACGACCAGATCTACTGCATGCAGCTGGCTCAAAACGCCGTTCACGGCGCGATGGCGGGCTACACGGCCTTCAGCGCAGGGATGGTGAACGACCGCACGGTGAGCTTTTAGATGTCAAAGCTTGCCGTCCTTTCGACTACGACGTTCCACCCGGGTCCCAGTTTACCCTCCTTTGGACTACACCTTCATTCTACCCGGGGTCCCAATTTTCGTTGACGCCCCCACTCCGGCCATAGAGTCCTGACAAAGGCCGTTTCACCTTACCTTCGATTCTCTAGAGCGAGTCGCTGGCCTTCCGCACGTGCGTCCACCATGGCTGCCCTCGTGTTGTATAGCGAGCGAGGCGTTTCCGCGCTCGCTGTGTCGTCCGTGTATTCCGCCCTAGGACCGCTAGAGGAAGCATGTTTTTGGCTTCCTGCATTACTTGTTGGCAAGTGCGTCTGGCGGTGTGGCGGTGTTGTTTCCTCTGGATTTTTGACATGTCATATTTTACACGTCAGCGATTTTGTCGCGAAACAGTCGCGCGAAAAGAACTACGCACGAGTTCATATGAAACAGCTAATGAGGACAGAGTTGGTGTCGTCTCCTCTTACAACTTAAGTCTCGGACCGTTAGACACATTTCTAGTGGTCGGTTCGTTCATGCTCACAAGCTCGCCTTTCTTGAAGGCATATAAATGCCTCTCTTCGCCAAGCCCCGAAAGAAACAAATGCAGATTTACAGGGAAACCGCCGGTTGGTCTTGTGTTAGGTGCTGTCTCGTGCTTGCTTACTTTTGAAATTTTGCCGGTCCGCGCACAGGCGTTGTTCATCTGGGAGGCCTCGACTGTGTGTGCTTCCTACCTTTTCTTGGAATAATGAAAACAACAACAATTAATGTTGCAGGTGTATCTGCCCATGGAGGAGCTCGTGGCAAACTCTCCCCGCATCGTAAACCCCCTGGGTCGCACCTGGGAGAATGTTCTCACCGTTACCAGACAGCCAAGCACCCTGGGCAGTAGAGCGACCGGCTAAAAGAAATCCAAGTGTCTTCTAATGGTCAACCGAACGGCAAGCTTCGAGACACGCTGCTTGTCAAGGGCACATGCAACAGACCCTGTGAAAACTAGCAGCCGCGTGAGAACACGAGGTTAAGGGCGATGGTTGGCTGTGGCAGGGTTTGGCTGGGTGATTGAAGACGGGACAGGAACAGGGCACGGACGGCGGGACAAGCGAGACTCACCAAGTTGAAGGCATCCCGTCAAGAGTTGTATTGGAAGGACCCTCGTAATGTGCTTACTTTCGAGAGCCGTTTCTTTTTTTTCCAGTGTTTTTGGAAGCGCGAGCGATGCGGAGCGTGAAAGCTCTTCTTTCTGCACCACCCCAGCACACTCGTCCAACGCAAGGAAGACAAACGCGCGCGGGCTACTCTCTGCAGTACGAAGCACGTTGGTTCACTGCGCAGTTCCCCGTTGTTTCCTAGTGGTGGGGATGGATAATTTCACAGGTTTCGTGCAGGCATTCACAGGCCGGGTGTTGGGTGTCGGTCGGTATCGTACGGATGCCGGATGCCGTTTCGTGTGCCGGCCAAGTGCTAGAACTAGTTTGCGTCCACGATCACACCCGAGGTGCCCTCGAGCGGTCGCTACTCGCTACATGATGTATTTTTTAAGGAGACAGACGTACGTACGTGTCGTCGTGTTGACTTTTTCAGAGACATCGTATGGCAATCATCGCCTCTCTTTTTCGCAGTCTTTGCTTTCCCCCCCGATCGTTGCCGTTCGTACTTCTACACAATAATATCAAATAGTAGGTCCATGTCTATGTTGCTTTTGGTAATAAATACATCATGATGAGAAGAATAGATACAGGTTGCACTCGCACTTCAGAATTTAGAAGTCAAAAAATAGATGCGGCCTCGAAAAAAAATCAAAATTAAAGAAATTGGCCATCAGAACACGTGCTCAGTCCCGACGTGGTGTCAAGAACAAGAACCCGCCTTATTGTGTTGTAACGAAGTGCTCACCGATAAGAACAGAGTAGAGAATATCTACTATGCTACAAGTCAGCGCTGACTTGTAGCATAGTGGATATTCTCTACATCTTAACAGTACAACCAACCGGGGTCTTTCAGCCTGTTGAAGCTGTTGGACCTCGGTAAACCCCAGGGTTGTAATCCCTGTAATCAGCGCTGCCCCACGCGGTTCATCGACTTGCAGGCGGGAATATGTGTCTTCACTTGGACTACCGCCGTCTCTCAGTCGTATCCCAGACTTTTCCGGAAAAAAGGCGTCACAAGTGGTCCACGAGGGATTTGAACCCTGGTTGTACTTTTGTTAAGATATACAGCATATCTATTATGTACGCCACAAATCAGAGCTGACTTTTAGCATCTATATAGTGGATAGTATGCTGTACATCTTTTGGAAATGCCTACGCATCTCCTCTCTTAGTCAATGTTCGGTACTACTGCTTATGTAAACGAATGACGTATGTGTTACCTATGTATCGATTGGAACGTAGCGTATGCGGAGGAACTAAGAGCTGTAGTCTGTAGCTCGTTCTGTCGTTCGGTGCACCTCACTCTTTGGGATCTCTCTCTGTGTGACTTATCGGACTGTCTGGGTACTTTATTAGCTGTCCTTGTCGTACCTTGGATGCTGCTGGCATACTGCCTGGACTACAACCGTCTGTCGGGTGTATCTGTCTGTGTTGGCCACATAAGCGCCGTGTTTGCAACATCTCTCCATCTTCTTCTGCTGTGCTTCTGCTGCTACAAGCTCCACGAGCACCGACTAGTAGTGTTGGTGGGCGTCAGCTTTTGCTGCTACGTGCTGGGGTACATACACACAATCCCCATAATAGGTTATGAGCCACTGAATCAGCGCAGCCCCGGGTTCTTCGTGGAGCGGACGCGGTGTGTCTTGGCACTGCTGTACATCCTGGATTGGGTCTTCGGACGAAGATCCGCATTGAGTCAACCCGCTTGCTTGCTCAACACGGACCGATCACCTGGCGTTCACATCTATCTGCACTCTCGGCACGAAAGGCACTGATTTGTGTAGAGCATACAGGAGCACAATTACTAGGCGTTGATCTTGGTCGGCGAATAGGATTGTGCACCAGTGCTTGTAATTCTGTCCGCGCGCCGATACATTGGGTCGGGGCGTGCGTACCTGACACTGCTGGCAAAGACGGACAGGGATATCGTCTTCCCGGGCGATCTTCCCACCTGGGAGTCTGCGCGCGAGCCGCGCAGCAAAGTCTGTCACAGCTGTTGTGCAGCTGTGCAGACTTTGGCCTACACCTGTAGCCATTCGGCTACCCCTGTGTGAACCCTGCAGGCAAATAGACCCTGTACGGACGCTGTGACCACCTGTCTAGGTAATCGGTCCCCACAGGGTCCACGGGTAGGGACCCTCTGCCAGGGTGTCGACACAACCAGGGTTGTACCAGTCATTTCTACGATACATTTAGTCTTGTAACGTGTGTTTAGCCTCTGGGGTACAGCCCCAGCATTATTCCCAGTTTCAACAAACTGGGTCCTGTGGGGTCGAACCACGTGCAAGCTATGATTTCGGCTCCGCCCTTGCCACGCCTCCTCGTTCGGGCTCAACTCCCGTCGTTTCGTTCCAAAATCAAGTCGAAGGCGACGAACATGCCACTTTGATAGGACGCGGTGAAAAAATCGGACACAAACGATGTTCGTACTCATCGACCCCAGCACTGCTGTTGACTACGAAGCTAACGTACATCGCTGCCGGGTCACAGAGCAACTGTGAATGAAGTAGGCTGTACGACACTCACCCAGGCGAAGCATGAGGGTGTTTCGTGCGTACTTAACGCCGATGAGGAAGTCTGAAATCCGTGACCATCATGCATCACAGCAGTCATCAGGATGCTACGTGCGAGGACGTGCGGCGGCGAGTTTACGTTCGTAACGTGCACGAAACGCAACATTGGTGGGCAGTGGAACCGAGTGGAACCAAAAAAAAAAATTGTATCAAAGGTCTCACAGCAAGGTGTATGTCAGAGTCCACAACATGTAACATACAGCAGCAGTAGGACACACGCACGGTGAGCAGCGGAATCAGCGTCGTCATGAATCCTAGACGACCACCCAGAGGACGNCACATGTAATCTGATGAGAAGCTGCACGAACAGGATCGCGTCGCAGGCGAGGTCGCTGCTGTTCTTTCCGCTCTAGTCTACATTGTACACCACGGAGGTTCCATCATGCATGACCACCACTTAACTTTTATTTTATTAGGCTATACTTTTTTTTTCTGTCCTATGCGCCAGCTGTTGATGTTTAGCAGATTGTTGTATAAAATTATCCACCACTGGTGTGCAGTAGNACCACGGAGGTTCCATCATGCATGACCACCACTTAACTTTTATTTTATTAGGCTATACTTTTTTTTTCTGTCCTATGCGCCAGCTGTTGATGTTTAGCAGATTGTTGTATAAAATTATCCACCACTGGTGTGCAGTAGAATACTTACAGAAGATTCGTAGACAATCATCAGCAATTATTGCAACAATGAAGAATGGACGTTTATTGTTCAGGTACGAACAACGACGAAGAGTGGACGATATGGTTATCGATGACGATTACGTCCACGGTGGTTCAAGCAGTGATGAAGTGGAGAGGATTGTTGTCAACAGGGAGATCCCGACTGCGGCGATTGAGACAACAGAAGGCCAAGAAACGTGCAGAGATAGCGTAAATTTGATGACTCCTTTTCGCGCGGAAACTCTCCTGCAAGGGCTGCAGGACTTTCGTGACCACATGTTCGCGGGTAGCACGCGGTGAGTGTCAGTAAAGTAGTAAGACTGAACTACTGAGGCAATATAATGACTTGTCGGCCTCGACGAGGGTGGTCGGTTAGAATGTGACATAATCCCCAAGTTTAGATCGAGCTCAATACTGCTGTACATTGNTTATGGGCGGATGAAGGGCATGAGAGGGTGATGGCAACTTTTCGTGGTTATGCAGGCGACACGGAGCGAGAGTTAGATACCCTTGTCCTAAGTAAGTTCGGAATCGAGTCAGAGGAACCGTACAAGATACATGTATGCGACGAGTGTTACCGGTCGTTGGCGAGGAACATTTTACCTGATGCTGCTTTGGCGAACGGGTTTTGGGTCGGTACCTTACCCGATGAGCTGCAGAAGGCAACGTTCGTCGAGCGAGCCGCTGCGTATCCAATTCGCACAAAGGGTGGCGTGGTAGCATTGGAATCCAGGTGTGTTAACAACATTCCTGGAACGGCAAAGAGGTCAATGCGAGGAACATCTGTGTTTTACGCAATTCATGGAGGATTGATCGTTGCTTTTTGTTTTGCGCAGCTGCAATTCGTTTCAGACACGAAGCAATTGAAAATGTGCGATTCAAGCTGTCGGTTCAACCTAATCCTGCAAATGCAGACACAATCGCTTATATCACCAAAGAGCATTTACATGTCATGGCAGAAGAACTCAAGTCAGGGGAAAAAACCAGCGCGGTTTTAAACAACAGACCCGAGATAAGATCTCTTCTTCGGACGATGCAGGCAGTATCGGGAGACGCGACGTGGACAGACCACGGAAAGCACAGGGCGCGTACTACAGCACACTCCATGTTTATTCTGTTCGGACAGCCTTTCTTCTGGATGACGGTGAATCCTTCAGACCTGAACAGTCCCTTCGTCATGCATTACGGAGGTCACGACATCGACCTATCGTCAACATGCCATGAACAGATGCCAGATTTCAGAAAACGACTTGATATAATCGTGAACGATTCCGTGGCTTCAGCCATTTTTTTCACGAAACTATCGAGGCGGTGCTGAAATATATTCTGAGGTTTCAGGCTAACGATGGCGATGGTGGTGCGCTAGGCAACATCAAAGCTTATATCGGCATGACCGAAGAGCAGCATCGTCTAATGCTTCACGGCCATCTCATGGTATGGGTGCATGGGTTCACGAGCCGGGAACAGTTGCGACAAGACGTTGGGTACAGCCTGAAGAAGCACGCCGAACGAGCCAAGTGAGTACATTTCGTGTTATATACATTTATGCTTTGCACCATTCGCCTTCGATTTTTAGTGCAATAATTCTTCATGTGTTGATTCTGATTTTGTGTTTGAACAGGTACATCGGACGAATAATCTACAACCAGGTCATGTCGGTCGAAGAGGTAGAGTTTGATCGATAATTCGGGTGGCTCGATTCTTTGTGGTTGGAGCTCAAAGCGGGTGGCTCATGGCGGAGCGTGGATGGGTAGAAACGTGTTGCAAAGTATAGTATTAATCGGGGGCGTGCCAGTGCTCGTCAAACCATCACGGCATCTGGTCACGCCTTCACTCTTTGTCACTCAACGAATCTCTCTGAACCTTCACCAAATACTTCTCGCAACCAACAAGGAATATATGTAGCAAGTTCCTATTCTTCCGCATCTCATCACTGTAACTTTCGTACGTACGTACATAACATCTCAACCGTTATACTATGCTACGAGTACCCCCAATATATCTAATAGCCCCCCCACTCGTATGCATCGTCATGCTCCGAGAAAAACCAAATTCCTCTTTACCATCTCTCCAAAACAAACAAAAACCAATATCTTCACCAAAACAATCCAAAATCCTCCAAGTCCATCACAAGAAAAATCAAACACAATCAAAACTCCTCCAAAACAATCAAGAAAAACTAAACACAACAACTCCTCCAACCTTCACCAGACTCTCTCTTTTCTCTTGTCCAATCTCTCGTCTCTCTCACTCTCTCCATCACAGAATACGAATCGACCCCAAAACACTTCCTTCACTGCAAGTTCATCACAAAGTCACGGTGAACGCAAAAGACTCCTTGCTAATGGCCTTCGTCAAGAAATCTGCATGCTGAAATTGCGTCGGCACATGAGTAATTGAAATCTCCTTCCTCTCTACCAGCTCCCTGATAAAGTGATGTCGTACATCGATGTGTTTCGAGTTGGAGTTCGTGATCGGGTTGTGCGCAATCTGAATCGCTCCCTGATTATCCTCGAACACCGGGATGCACGGCATACCTGCATCTGGCAACATAAAACGCCACACCTGCCTCAGGAACAACACTTCCTTCAAGACATCGGCAATTGCCACATACTCTGCTTCCGTGGTGGAAAGCGTGACACACTTTTGTGTCCTCGAAAACCAAGTCACACACCCTCCCCCACACATCACTAGCCCTCCTGACACCGATCTACGGTCTGTCGCCTTGCTTGCATAGTCGGCATCCACAAACACCTGCATGCTCATCCCAGTCACCACTCCCCTCTCAAATGTAATCCCCATCCAACTCGTCCTCCGTACGTACCCCAAAGTACCGAGTGCTGCCTTCCAGTGCACCATCTTGGGAGATGCACAATACCGCGCTACTGCTCGTACTGCGTTCGCGATGTCCGGCCTTGTTTGAGTGGCCAACCACATCAGAGATCCTACCAACTCGCGAAAAGGGAC